CTGTACTGGTCTCTGAGGGCCTTAACCCTCGCCAGCCGGGGGGGGGGGGGGTGCCGCCCCTCCATAGTTTTTTTTTTCGCGATAGCTCCGAACACGCCGGCGATAGAGAGCTGAAGCTTGGCATATCTGACCTTTGAATCAAACGGGATCTTTTGACACCAACCGCATTTTCGGGTCAGATCAGGTCACTGACCCATGTGGTCATAAGTGAACCTCTGCACGGTCTTCAGATGTCGCAACTTCGCAACGCCCTCACTGCCAGAGGAGATTTCACAGGGAAATGAACCTTGGAGGACCTAGTATCCAATAGGAGTCTTTCAACTTGTATAATGTATATCTCGGATTTTTCCTAAAGTTCATATGAGGTCAGGTCATTTTCGTGACCTCACCATTAGGTATAAGTCAATGGGGATAAACTGAAAACTTTTTCTGGCGCCGGGAATGATCGATCTCCAACTATCTCAAGCACACCGAATCGTGATTTCATGCACTCCTTGCAAGGTTCGATGCGTCACTTTTGCAATGTTGACCTTGCGCGACGTCATTTATGAAGTTATAAGGGTCTTATTAGTTTTTCGTCAATAACTAGGTACCGATCAAATTGAGCTAGCGAGTCGGGAAAGCCACCTATGGACTCAAGAAGACCTGCCGAATCGAATGATATGCGACATGACCTCCTTCGACCAATTTCGTGACCTGGGGACGCCGACCTGACCGTGACCCGAGGTCAACACCCTAAGTTTACCTCACCCAAACAAAAAGTATATCATTCGACGCGCCTGAGAGAGGCGAACACGATGCTGGCAAAATCGCGGCTCTGCGGCCATTTTTTGCGAAGTTATTCACCAAAAACGGAACCGTGCCTTGAGGCACTTGACCTGACCTCAGAGGTCACCGGTTTTTGTTTGTTTTGTTGGGTTAGGCCCTTTCGGTCCAATGAGACCATTTCAGAGCCGGAAGGATGATAGGATATAGGGGGAGACATTGGTCTGGGCAGGCACCCTAGTGAGTCGCCGGGGCTGGGCCCGTCCAGAGGACAGGCCACCCAGCCCCAAGGCACTCACTGCACCCGGCTACGGGGTGCGCTCCCTCGGGAGCAGCGGTGCCGCTCCAAGGGAGCAGCCCGCATGAGATAAAGTTGCCTGTCCAGCCCGGAGGGGGTTGCGGTGTGGAGGAGAAGGATTTCAGTATCCTGAGGATAGAAGCACGGAACGGTGTCAGAGGTCACCGGTTGACCTAGGACCATAAAATCGGGTATCGATCTCTGCGTCCCGTAACGGCGCACACGCTCGTTTTACCGCCCGACGCGCTAGCTCCACCTGGGGCGAAACGGCGAGGGGGTCGTACCCGCCGGCCCGCCCCTTCGGCCAGCGCGTATGTAGAAAACCTATAGGACCGGGCCGTGGAGGGTTAAACTGGCCTCTGAAGGCCCAGACCGTCTAAAAATCCCACACCGGCCTCTGATAAGTGATAGTCAATCAGCCCAGTTGCAGTGGTCGCTGATATAAAACCTCTTAAAAACGTTATAGGCCTGGCTGAGCCTAGCTGGGCCGTTCATGCTGATTTTTATAGGTATATTGAAAAGACTCGCTTTGCACGTTTCACGCTTGCTCGTAATGAAAAAGTTGCTGGATGCCTCTGGAATTTGCATGGGTGCCAACGGCTGCGGAGGTCAGGGGAACGCGTCCATCAGTTTGAGCTTATGGACGGGAGACTCCCTGAAATTTCAACCAATTTTTTTTTCTTTTTTTGTCTCGATTTTTTTTTTACCTCTGAGCATGTTTGCGAAAACAAAGTGGCCGAAATCCGAGGAGAAATCGGATTTTGGGGGTAGGTTAGGTTTTGGACCTCTGGGACCCTGGCCCCCCCCACTTTCGAAAACGTTCCTACGCCTATGGATCTGAGGAATGAAATACCACGAAGAGCATTTGCCTCGGAGAGAGAAGAGAGAACACCAACCACAATAGCAGATGCTTGTTACATTGCACAACAAAAATCGCCACGCACGCAAACCCCATCTTGAGATTAATTTAACGCTCATATAAGTACATAGACCCAAAGAAAGTCGCGTTATTTGTTTGCAATTCTTTTCATTCATTAACTTCGTGTGAATATCATTGAGTTATTTATACATGTTTACGGTGATAATGACTAATGCCTAACGCTACAAATCAGATTTTGCAAAGTTCACTTTATGGCATTAGGTAAAATATACATAGGTGCGCCACAGCACATTCTGAGCGAAGCCTTATCGTAACAATTTATAACCAAGGTCAACCTAGGCACTCCAAAGGTCAAAACATTTGCAGGAAGTTGTAGCGAGCATTCTGACACGTGACTTTGATCTCATCGGACGCTACTTGTGGCGGAATTCCGAGCCGCAGCCTAGAGCTCGTGAGTGTCCGTCACAGGAGATGAAACGGAAATTGCGCCCCGGCATTATGACCTGCGGTGCTGGACTTCCAGCTGGCAAGGAAGGAGTGATCCCATCCAAACTCCGTCGGCGTGTGATTCTGATAAACAGAGACTTACGCTCTCACTTTTGTGTTCTTCTGCTCAACCACTAGCGAACCTTTAAATGTTTTTTATGTAAGCTACAGCTTTCCCATACATGCAACATTGCACGTTTAAATCGAGAAAGCCAGGCATTAAAATGGCACGTGCATTATCCTGCACTTTTGAAACATACAAGAAGTCAATGCTGATTGGTTTCCGAGACATGCAGGAAAATATGTTTTCCTGCACCTTTCGACGTTTTCCTGCACCCCTCGGCGTTTTCCTGCACCTCTCAACTATATGACGTCATTATGAATGACGTCACATCATAAAGTTGAAGAGCATCACTTTGCTCCTTATAACTTCATTTTATCTATCGTCCATTTTATTTGATTGGCTTATGATATACCTACCTACATTGTGTTTGATGCAAGGATTTTATTATTTGTCATGAATAAAGTGAAACATCACCATATAAAACTTTGACGCTATTTCGCAACAAACCATAACCAGGAAAGACTCAACAAGGTTGAAATTGGGGGCGTTTTGGTTCCTCCAAAACATTTGCAACGCTCCCTATAATGGTACGCATGTATGGGAAATAGCTTCCTGCCCTGAGCTGGGAAAATTTAATAGTGTCACCTCGTATTTTAATCGAAAGTACCTCGGGCCTACCGGCCCTCGGTACTTTCAATTAAAAAACTCGGTGACACAATTAAATTTTCCCAGCCCCGGGCAGGAATGTATTATCTTAACATCATGTTCTTTGTCGCTTGATCGTGCGATCGTGCATCGAAACATGTATAGTTCGTTTTTTCTAAGTTCGACCCTCACTGTAAACATCTTTTTGAACATAGCACGAGAATTGCTAGCTGAATTACTAAGAAAACTGGTTAGCGCACATTGTACTGTAGACATGAATAATATTTTCCAAATAAGTTTTAAAAACCGATGATATACCGTTCTGTTAAACGCCGTACGATCTATTGATCAGTTCAGTTATAATTTCTGACAAGAGGTCTATCCCTGTGGGGTTGTAGGTATATAAAGGCAACTACGAGCTAAGAGTCTGGGAAATAAGAGCCAGGAAGAAATAATTTTGAGTAAAATTAGTCGTCTGTGAAATCAATGTGCGCCAGCCAGTTTTCTAAGTAATTCAGCTAGCAATTCTCGTGCTGTGTTCAAAGAGACGATTACAGTGAGGGTCGAACTTAAGAAAAACGAACTATACCAATTTGAATACGTTAAATATATATATATTTTTTTTGAATTGATGAAGAGCTGCACAGATTCAGTAAAAATAGTGGCTTCCAGAAACACGTAAACGATAAAAAATGCAGGATATTTTTGCTTTTCCATATCATTAATAGATCGAATAAATAAAGTGCAGTTTACCAACATTGAGAAACCATAATGGTATGTCAATCGATAGGGGTTACAGATTTTATATTTTATATTTGTGATATTCCGACGACCTAGGCCAGGCTGAAGACATCCCGCCGTCAGGTTCCAATCGCCAGGTCTCCCCTTTCACCTTGCCTGTGTCCTTTTCCTACATCACTAGTATCCGTTCGCTACCTCCTTCGCCACCATGGCGACCGCTCGCTACCTTTCCGTTGCCCGTGTCTGCTCCCGCTCGCTAGCTTCCCGTTGCCCGTGTCTGCTCCCGCTCGCGATCTTTCCGTTGCCCGTGTCTGCTCCCGCTGGCGATCTTTCCGTTACCCGTGTCTGCTCGCTGTCTTCTCGCCTCGTCGCCGCTGTCTTCTCGCAGCCTCATCCCACTGCACCGTCTGCCCGCCAGCTGGCAGCCGACACACCCTCTCTCAGAGCCGACCATGCGGATATGGCCCTGTACGCCTCCGATATAGGCTCGGAAGGAAGACGACATCGACGACGACAGGAACAATCATCGCTGCTCCTCCTGTGACCTTCAGCGGCGTGCCACCCCTGACCCAGATGTAACCCCCCCTCCCCAGTCCTGTGACGATTTCATCGATCTGCCGCCCGCCGTGCCGGCCGGCTGCGCAAGCTGTGTATTTATTTCTGCAGGAGGACAGATTGCCGGCCGATACAGGGTGATACGGACACCACTGGGACGCCCATTGACACCGTTCGCTGTCCGAGTTGGGTATGTAGGGATTAGGGTGTGTCGCTAATTACATATCATGGTGCTCCTATGGTTAGCTCCTTCGTTTCAGACCAACAAAAAACCAGCTGTACAAGAAAAAAACTTTCGAGAAATTAAATCTGGTCCTGCCGAGTCATGTTAAAATTTGGATCAAATAATTTTTCAGCGTTGCAGTCTGTCCGTACACAGCCTGTTTCTTGCTTCTTTTCCGAGACATAAATGCCTTCGCTGACCATCTTTCTAGGCATTTTTGCTGACGCATCAGCACAATACGAGCTTTGTGTCGTAGCTATTCATTTTATCCCCTTTAAGTTTCATCTTTCATGCCTTTAAAGTTGACTTAAAAATTTACTAAAAACCAGTAACTGAAGCAAAATCAATATCTATGTTTTGTATTCACACCTCCTTGATGCCAAATAGAATAAGCATGCCACAGCTCCTTGCAATACACTCGTGGCCAGTCAATGCCAGGTCTGCCGGACCAAGCAGAGGTCACCGAGGTCACCCGCAGGGGTCACAGCAGACGGAGGGCGGCCAGCAGCCCGGCGATCACTACCAGCAGCGCGCCGCTGGCCTTCTCCGCGGAGGACACCATCACCGGGCCGAAGTCATCGTACGCAGCGCCGGAGCCAAGCAGCGCCATCAGCAGAGTCGCCATCAGCAGAGCACGCACGTCCAGCATGGTGAGTCGGGGTACAGCCTGCGGCAAACGGGCCACAGAGTGTGAGGGAAACGAGAGGGTGAAGGGAAACCAGAGAGCGAGGGGAAACGAGATGGTGAGACGGAAACGAGAGAGCAACAGGCGGGTGGCTGGAGGTTGTATAACGTGGAAAAAGGATTGGGGAAATGCGAAAGTATAAGTGCTCAAAGCATTAGCAATAACTTACCTCGCTCAATTTAAAAAGCAGACTCCTCTCGGTGTCTCAGCTCACTCTGAACTGCGACATCCACACGCCACAAGTCATCTGGAAAAGCCAGATGTCCTGGCGTCTGATGAATTGTATACATTATTCGATACAAATCCGTTTTTAATACATTTGCCAGACCATACAAAACCAGGAATAGCATAAACACTGGGAATGCACGCCAGCACGACAGACGTAAAAGGAAGGGTAGGGTATATAGCAGCAACTGTTCAAAAACACTTTTGCTTCAAGGCAGGATTCAGTTAAATTGTTTGTACTGAGTTAGAGCCAACAGCCCTTCTCACACGGAACATTGTGCATCTATTATAGAATAATTATTTGGAACAAAAGAGCACAAGCCGATCAACATAGGTGCCAAATGTTTCGTCGTGAAAACTAGGGCTAATGATAAGGATTCGTGATCAATTTTTTAGCTGAACCATGATTACGAGTATACTCCGATTAAACCCAGAAATATCGTCAGCCGTCGGGAATCGATTTAGTTTTGATTTTCTATATATAAAGACGCCGCTGACGGGGCTCGGCGCACAGATCACTTTTACGAGAACATGTAAAAACTTCCTTTCCGAAAACGGACACCGATTTTTCTCAAATCAACCAGTCATGCATACAGACTGGAAAGTCTTCGCACATCCAGGCGTCAACAACATAAGACAACACGGCGTAATCACCTTGGAGGTTTCAAAACAATCTGCGTAAAACTGAGATCTCGGCGATCCACATTCACATCTAAAAGCACATCCACATACCCGCACCATACATCAGCCGCGTGTCTTCTGTGTATCGTATTTAGGAAACAAACATTGCCAGCGGCTCACCGCGGAGTGCTCCAGCTGCCGACCGACCCGACCGGCGAGCGACCGCTCTCCGTCGGCCATTAGGCGATTGTACTCACGGGGCGCAGCGTGCAGATGACGAGTTGATCGGAGGAGAGCGAGATTGGCGTCGTCTCCAATCGGCACCCCATCCGTCGGCCGACCGGCTCGTCCATCAAACAAACGGCCCTCGCAGGCCCGCCGGCCGCCGTCTGTGCCGGAGTATCGAATACCGACGCAGCACCGGAGCAGACACCGTTACCGGTGCCGACACCGATACTGACACCGATACCGATACTGACACCGATACCGATACTGACACCGATACCGATACTGACACCGATACCAATACTGACACCGATACTGACACCGATACTGAAACCGATACTGATACCGATACTGACACCGATACCGATACTGACACCGATACTGATACCGATACCGATTCCTATACTGATACCGACTCCGATAACGATACCAACATTTACATCGATACAGATACAGATACAGATACAGATACAGATATTTATTCGGCACCCCCACTGCGTAGATCATGGCCACGTCATACATGTCATACACATAAATGAATAAAGACACACCAGTAAAACACTTGATACATGTGATAAAAGCAGTAATAAAAGCGACAAATAAAGGTACTCCAGTGCAGCGGGATAAAAACAACGATTTGAAATGCTACGAAGAAATACGCTGGTTCCACACTGCAGTCGCTCTATAGAGAAAACTCCTCTTCGCTAATTCGGTCCGAACTCTCGGCAACTGCAACTGTCCCGATATCAACACCGATATCGATACCGATACAGATACCAATACTGATACCGGGAACGAAACCGACACTGATACAAACACAGACACCAATACCGACACCGAAACCGAATCCGATACTGACACCGACATTGACATCCGCGCGGGCACTAACATAACCACTGAATGAAAAGCCATACAGACACTAACAAAACCCACTGATACCGACAATGATACCATTAACGCCGTTTTCGCGACGGGCTTTCCGGCGAGTGCACCTAATTTGACCAAATCTGCACCTACTGTCTTTTACAGCAAATAGATATCTTTATTTTATGAATTTATTTCATTGTTTTAATCGATGATACTCTCTGATAATATGACAAAGCAGGGATATAAGCAATAAGTGCAGCACTAGCTGATAGCTACTAAGAGACACACTGAACCTAATCTGACCAAATCTGCACCTAATATGCACCAAATGTGCACCAGATGTGTACCAGATGGCCGTCGTGAAAACAGCTATTATAACACTGACATCGACACCAGTCTGCGGACGCTGAAGACGCAGGTCACACATGGTTGTGCTGTTGTGTGGGTATTCATTCACACATTTACTGTAGAGCATCACTGCGCTAAGTCGCTACAATAGTTATTGGCGGCTTACTAGTAGTGGCTTATCTGGATGCACAGTAGGGAAAATGTCGGATCCCGAGCAACAGGCAACGTTTGGAGCGTGAAAAATGCTGCCGAGAGGAATAAAAGATGCACCAGTGGTTGCCGATTTCCATGTCATGATTTACCGAGAGAATCTATCGGTTGTTGGCGGTTAAGGTTATTGGTTGTCTCGTAAAACAGAGGATACCCTGCCGATTTTATGGTCATGGAATACGTTATCATGCAGCGGAGACACAGCTTGGGGTTTATTGGTTTCCACTCAATGATTTCTGAAGTGGAAATCATTCGTCAAGCGGGAAAATCACTGGAAGAGGATGAACCTTTCAAAGCTATCTGCTATACCTTCCCTTTCAGTCCAGTCCCATCCCACTGTACACCACAAATTCATCAGAGCAGGGCCATCATCCGTCGCTAATGCTGCCACTCAGTTTCAGCCGACTCCGACCCCGCACCTGACCAGAAGTTAAGACATCTCCAGTCAGACGCCAGCGAAACGGGCTAAAGCCGCCGGGCTGCCCCGCAGCTGCACCTGCTGCTCGGAGCAGAGCTGCGCCAGCTCGCCGCCTGCCTTCCCCGATCTGCAGAGCTGCCTACACAGCCGGCAGCGTGGTCTGGACAATCTGGAACAGACGCGTGAACCGCGTGCAGAATTAGCTGTTTGTTCTTGACGCGGCCCGATTTTAAATGGTCATAATCCGAACCACGAGAGCGAGCAAGAGAGAACGCTGATTCAGAAACTAGAAGAGAGCAAGTTGTTGCTTAACATTGCATTGTCGCCATATTCTGGCAAAACTCTGATACTGACAGGCACATTGCGCAGGAAGTGGCTGTTTGCGCGGCTGGATGGGCTGTCCCAGTGAGTGTCCCAGTGTCCCACCGGGATATGCCTGCCCCACGGGACACGGGCATCACGGGACTCAGCCGCAGCCATGCACCAGCCGGCGGGTCGGTTCACTGAATAACTACGTCTTGTCTTTTCGTTCTCATCCGATATGCGGCCATGAAATGGTCTAAGTAAACCTTAAGAGGAACTAGAGAACTCAAAAATAAATGACAAGTAAGTCTTTAACAGCCTATGACTTTCCTTTTCGTAATCCTCTCTTCATATATTGCACTAACTATTGATTCAGGTTGGTAAATCTTGGACCATTTCGCATGTAGGTGCCTCTAAATCTGGCTTTGACCAGCTTTAAACTGGGTTTGCTGACTGCAATCGGGATCCTACTTTTTAACCTTCGCCCCAGTTGGGGGGGGGGGGGCATATGTTACCACCCTGTCGCGTTTTTTTACGTGTGAATAAAAACCGCGCCGCTTGGAGTAGCTTTCTATACATCAATTTTGGACAATGTGTGAAATTTTTGACCCTAGGTCATGTCAGGTCAGGTCACCAGGTCAAGTTAACTGACCAAGCCTAAAAAGTTTGCAATCATTTCCAGCCTGCAGTGTTTGTCAGAGAGGTTTCAAACTTGGTGGATTGCATGATGTTATGGACGCCTATAACTTGTATATCTCGGATTTTTTTTTATATCCGTGACCTAAGGTCAGGCCAGTGGCGTGACCTTACCATTATAAGTCAATGGAGAAAAATGAAAATGCCTCTAGATCCGTGTGTACGCATAGGAACAGCCGAAATATTTCAGAATCGCGATGATTTGGACCACCCGTGACGAACAAGGTGTCTTTTTGCTGATAGCCTCTAGAAAGGTCATCCGAGGTCATTTGAGGCTACAAACAGCTTTTGCCAATAACTCTCGATCGGAAAGAGATAGAACGCTGGGGATGGCCTCATTGTGTTTGTTTTGTTGAGACGCATCGACTGATATGCAACATGATCTTTTCCGGTCAGGTCATGACCTTGGCCTGAGGTAAAATTTTCCAGTTGACCTTTCAAGGTCAAATTATAGTTCATTCGATGCGTCTCGGCGAGAGGAACACGATTCTGGCAATAGAAATGTCGTGGCTTTTGTTTAGTCAAAAGTTATTGTCGCAAAACACTTTTCGTAAAAACAGCTGTTTTGGAGCTTTTGCCCTCTGGAGGCTAAACCATTGACCTGAGGTCAATTTTGATGATGACCTTATCATAAGAAGAGTTCAAAAGCTATCAATTGCTTTTCCATGCGTTTTTTGGCTATCATAGTTCCTGGGATAACGGCATGTTTTCTGAAAAATATATTGAAATTTGGCAAATTTTGACCTTTGATAACCTCTGGTGACCCCAATATTGCTCTAAGATGAAAAATGACTGAAATGCTTGCGAACGTACGCATTGAGCGCTATCGACTGCTTTTTACCGTGTCTTTCTAGCCCTCTTAGTTTTTGAGTTAGAGGTGGGTGGTAACATATGCCCCCCCCCCCCCTCCCCACTATGGCGAAGTTGGCTGAGACCGCCACTGGGGCGCGGCCAATTATGACTATAGTTACATTGGTATTGACCAGACACTTCCCGACAATTTTCAAATCAATTCTCACTAGTGATCCACTAATTCGGCAAATTTCTTTCAACCTCACCAAATAACAGGTCACATTGTCAGTAATAAAGTTCTGCACAATATGTAGATCAGCTGGCATCTCGGAGTTGCCGAAACAGTATTGGCGCGCTTCCAATGTTTGGACTCGTGTTTGTCTTCGCCAAACGAGGCTGTAATTGGACGGGCAGCCGGGCCGGTCGGAACTGGCAGCGACCGTCTCCGCGGGGTTCTCCGAGTGCCGCCGCATAAATCGACCTCGGGTCCCCACGGAATTCGACAAAAAAATGGACGGTTAAATCATGTTCTGACCGATTGATGAGTTCTGAAGAGGGGATGTGAAGAGTGCCATCGATGAGAAGCGCAGTTGTGTTACAGCATTCCCAGGAGATTTCAGGAATCCTTAAGCCTCTCTCGCTGCTTTCCTTGACGCTCGTTTTGCCAACCTCTCTCTCTCTCTCTCTCTCTCTCTCTCTCTCTCTCTCTCTCTCTCTCTCTCTCTCTCTCTCTCTCTCTCTCTCTCTCTCTCTCTCTCTCTCTCTCTCTCTCCCTCTCTCTCTCTCTCTCTCTCTCTCTCTCTCTCCCTCTCTTTCTCCTTCTCTCTGATCTATCCCTCCCACGGCAACAGCGGCAGGTGTGCAGTGCCGTATATTGTTCCGGTACCCCTTTCCGTTAATCATTTGTCAATAAAGCCTTACTGGCAGATATGTATTTGTGAATGGCATGGCAGCGTGTCCACTGTCCAGCCAGTGCGGTCAGGAAAAGGACAAAGTGGCCACTCGCGGAACATAACATTTATCCGTCACCGGGAGGGGGGTGGGTGATCGGCTAGTTTTTTTACGTCCACGAGGTGCCGCGCAGTTGGCATTACTTATGCTTCATCCATCTGATTCTTGCGTGAAATTTTTAAGCTCAATTTAAGGCAAACTCACCAGTTCCATTTCCCGTCCCACTGTGTTTCCACCGGTCGGCCCACTGCACCATGACGACGGATCGGTGTAGCATAGGTATACTGGAAGGTCAGGCACGCGGATTCATGACCTTACCACTATAAAACAATTCGGAAAAGTACAGATACCTACCTCTTGCTTTGAACAAGCATGTGAAACCCAGAGAGCATTTTCAGACTATGACATTTACCCATATAGGTAACATACCTAGTTGTGTGGCGGCGGGAGAGAGTAGGTACACCGACCTCTGGAGACCCCCCACAGGTTCCGAGCTTTCAAAATTGGCATCTGAGGGCCGCGCGCGACTCCTGCGGGGCTTCGCAGCGGCTCTATTAGGGCTCACTCAACCTGCCTAGTCTTACTGCTAAAAAGACTGGCCCTGAGCCCTAAGGACTTCATCAGTCTCTGCCAGCCCCAGGACCCACACCGGCTCATGGGGTCCCGACGTCGAAATATGAGGGAATCTGCGCGGGACCATCAGGACGCAAAGTAATCTCGATCAGGACCAACGTAAGGCTGTGCCGGAGACTGCGTGAGCCCTCTGATCTTCAGAAACCCACCCATGTATGTTTTCACGTAGAGGCCAGTTTAGGGCCCTCAGAGACCAGTACAGGGCCTGCAAACTACAAAGGCCAGTAGTTTGAGACAATCAGTGACCGAGTTGGGCTCTCAGAGGCTAATGTGGGTTATTACAGGCCAACATGGGCCCTCAGAGGTCAGCGTGGGGCCCTAAAAGACCGGCATGAGCCGTCGTTGGACCCCAGAGGCCAGCAGAGGGCCCTCAAAGGCCAAGATGGGCCCTCCTCAAATGCCAATGCAGGCCCTTAGAGGCCGGCATCGGGTCTTCAGCAGCCAGTGCGGGGCCCTCATTGGCACCACTGATGTTAGTTGTCGGACTTTCGTCCCCGTCTTGAGTTGAGATGTTAGTTTCACAACGTTTCGGCCAGTTACTTCTCCGGCCGTCGTCAGGTGTTCTTTGGCCCTTAGAAGGACCTGGATGTTGGTGGCGTTGCGCCGTACGCGTCATACCGTTCGAAAGCTCCTGTAGTCAGCGGGAATCGAACTCGGGTTTCCCCGGTGATAGTCCACGGTTCTAACCACTCCACTATCGAGGCAGACATCGTTATGGAGCTGGAAACTTGGTGTCATTTATCCCCCAGATGTTTTTGTGATTTCCTTAGTAGTGGGAGCCATATTGGGCTGATGTCAACGCTTGGCTTGCTGATGGGGTTGCTAGCCAGCGCCATGTGTGCGGCTTCCTTGATTTTTCTGATTTTCCAGTGTGGCTCCTTGTCGATGATGGTGGTATCATCCCAAGCAGGTCTGTGATCTCCTTCAGACCATGCATGCTCCGCCACACCGGATTTCAGTGTTTCGCCTCGGATGGTGGCCTTCCTGTGTTCTTCGAGCCTGACCGCCAGTGGGCGGCCAGTCTCGCCCTTGTATGACCTGCCGCAGCTGCACGGGATGTCGTATATGCAGTTCTTTGTTTGCTCCTTGGTGGTTGGCGGTCTGACCTTTGTGAGTGACCTGCGGAGGGTGGTGGTACTTCTGAACACCGTCCTGATGTTGTATGCTCCGCAGATTCGCCTTAGCTTCTCTGACAGTCCTCTGTTGTATGGGAGGGATACTGTCGCGATTGGCTTATCCCTTGGTTGTTGTTGGGATGCTTCCTTGGGTTTGTGTTTCATGAAGCTCGTTGGGTATCCGTTTCTCCTGAAGGTGCTGGTAAGGCGTGACATTTCCATCTTTCTGGCTGCTTCGTCTCCACAGATGTTGGTGGCTCGGGTCTGCAGGCATCTTACGATACCTTTCTTGACTGTGTCTGGGTGGTGTGACTTGAAGTTGAGGTAGCGGTCGGTCGCTGTTGGTTTGCGGTAGACCGATGTTCTGAATGCTTCCTCAGATTTCTCCACTTGGACGTCAAGGAATGGTAGTTTGTTGTCGACTTCTGTTTCCATTGTGAATTGGATGGAGGGTCGGAGGCTGTTGAGGTGGTCTAGGAACGGTGTTATGTCCTCGCGATGGTCCCACAGGACGAATGTGTCGTCGACATATCGCAGCCACAGGGATGGTTTCAGTGGTGCTGTTTGTAAGGCCAGTTCCTCGAAGTGTTCCATGTAGATGTTGGCGATCACCGGTGACAGGGGTGAACCCATGGCCATTCCTTCAGTTTGTTGGTAGTAGTCATCGCCCAGTTGGAAGGCGGTGGTGGTGACACAGAATGTCAGGAGTTCCATGATGTCATCAGTCGGGATTGTCGTTCTTTCGGGCAGTGTATCGTCGCTCTCCAGTCTTGTCCTCACTATGCTCAGAGCTTCGGTAGTGGGCACATTGGTGAACAGACTCACCACATCGAAGCTTACCATTTGCATGTTCGGCGAAGGTCGCATGGCCTGAACCAGTGAGACGAAGTGGGCTGAGTTCTTGACATATGTAGGTGTTTTGCCACTCAGTGGGTTGATGATCTTGACGAGGAACTGGCTCAGAGGATGGCAGGCTGAGCCACGGCAGCTTACTATTGGTCTTAGCGGTACATTGGTCTTGTGTACCTTTGGCAGCCCGTACATGTGTGGAAGTTTGCTGTGATGTTGGCTCAGCTTTCTGTACTGGGCGTCCGTGAGTTGTTCCTTGTCCTTGTTCTTCTTAAGGAGCTTTGTTAGTTTGCGTTCGCAGGCCGGGGTTGGGTCTTTCTTCAGTTTGGTGTACGATCCATCTGTCAGAAGGGCCCTCATTGGCACCTTAAGGTTCGTCTTGGGACACCACAGACAGAAATAAGGCCACCAGAGACCGGTGTGAGACCCTCAGACGCCGGTTGGGACCCCTGAGGCCGGTTATGGGCCCTCATAGGCCAGATGTGGGGTCTCAGAGGTTGATGTAGGCTCTTAGCGGTCAACGTGGGCACTTGACCGCCACTGAAGTTCCCTCAGAGGTCAGTGTAGGGCGCTCAAAGACCGGTGTGGGAGCTATATTAATAGCTGGGCGTGGGTTTTTTGAGCCTCGTGACGATCGAATAATTGCCAGGGCCCCATACACCTATATGGGGGCCCATTGGTTGTTTGAGGGGGGGGGGCAAATGATATGATGGCCCCCTTTATTGACCTTTGGGGGGGCATGGCCCTGATGCCCCCCCCCCCGACCGCCACTGTGTACACATTACACACATGCCTCTGAGATTACATACTAACTCATGCAAACTCTATGCAGGCCCCGGAGTTCCCACGCTAATCCTTAAAGGGACTATCCCACCTTTAACATGGGGTTTGAGTTGAGATAGCCAAGTTTGCGGCGAGGTTCAGAAACCACTATCTATCTAGGTTGCAACCCCCGCGGCCTCTTGGTGTTGAAGAAATTCGTTCCCTTCATTTGAAAATGGGCCTTGTACAAGGCCCTATCTTCAACATGGAGCGACCGTTAGTGTGACGTCACCTCGTTTAGTCATTCTGATTTAAATGGGTTTGTTCGTTGAAAAATCGCTTAAAACTTGGTCTGAACTTTGTTGTGGTGCCTACAGAGTAAAACGAATCAGCTTTATGACAGTAATGTGGCCTGGGGAAGGAGGTAATTTTGGGCTGTGACGTCACATATTTGAAAGTTTGTGATTGGAATATGGGAAGCCTAAGATGTTAAATGAAAAATAAATGCCAGAACCGTGTTCCTGGTCATCCAATCTATAAAGTCGGGCACAATTTAACTGGTTTTAACAACATTTTAGAAGGTGGGATAGTCCCTTTAAGAAACCAAGCCGGCATACGGCGTCACCACCGGGCTTCTGAGGTGCACAGCACCAACCCATGAGGTCTTACTCTAGTGTCTTAGAGCCAATCTCCTTTAGCAGGGCCCACCCACCACTGCCGAAGAGGGTCTCATGCCAGCCATTGCTGGGCCTACGAGAGCCTCAAGTAAACCACGCTGATATTCCATATAAGATCCGGCCATACTCGTCAACCGGTGCCAGCGACGCTGACCACCAAATTGACAGAATGCGAAACTGAGCCCACTCATGAGTGAAATTTATGTCCTTTGATGGCGCAAGAAAGAAAATGAAACATACGAAAAGCTTTTCTAGGACTTTTGTTCGATCTGAAAGGTGGGGCCAAAAGATAGTATGGCCCCACCTTTCAGCACCAAAGGGGTGCACCTTTCAGCACGGGGGCCATGGCCCCCGTGCCCCCCCCCCCCTGGGACCGCCAGTGACTGGATAGTTGGCAAACTCTGCAACAGATCTGCAAGAAAAGTGTCCCAATCCTGCTTTTTCAGAACGGGCTATTTGTGAAATATGTTTTTATCAAATGCACGCCAAATGCCGATGGACTGGTTTTTTTTTTCTCATACATCATCATTTATTACGACAAACCACATTTTACATGATCTCATGTCACAAACGCACGACGTTCCAGCGCCCTCAAAAAGCTCCTGGCCCCTGTCTTCCGCTCACTCCGCACCAAACTAGCCAACATAATATAACATCCATAACAAAATAGCATTTGCCTACGAGCTGACCTCATGTGGCCCCATACCGGACTGGACACCGGACCGATTCCTTCTACGCACCGGTCTCTCTCGCACGCGCTCTCTGACTGACCACATACTCTTTAACCACAACGAAACAGTGACAAAAGCATGGATATGACAAATCATAAACCCAGAGATGAAGATCTAAACAACATAGTTAGCAGAAACACTGACACAATCGTCCGTAGTGCGTGGCGGCGATGGCGGCGCCGCCGGCGGCGGCAGCTGCCCGGCCGACCAGACGACGGGCGCGGCGGCGGCAGCGTACACGGGACCTTCATGCGGTCACCTGTTTAATCAAATATCGGGACTGCATGCCCTGCCCCGCCCAACAAACCGACGAAGCTCGCTGCACATGGCTGTAGTAGGTATTCCAATTTTATTTTGTGTTTCTGCGATATGTGTAGTGTGCTGACTTTTGATTATTAGTCACCGATGATTTTCCTAGTTTGTTGAGTTTTGGTTTCTTTGTCGGTCACCCATATTTATGAGTGACCCCCACTTCTTTTTGAAGTAGTCTTGCTTGCCGGTATGTTCAGCTGCTTTGCTTTCTACTTCAAGTTCTTGTTTTATTTTGTTGTGTAAGTGAATAATATTTGGTGAGATCTCTTTCATACGTGCTGAATAAATGACTAGCTTTGCTAATGTTATTATGCATGTTTCTCTTGCGCTTATGTCTTTGGGAAAAAACCACAGTTTAGGATCTAAGCTTAAGTTGATGTTGTATTTGTCCAATATGTCCGATTTCACCGCGTTGATAAACTGCTTTGTTATCGGACAGTACCAGAACAGATGAGCTAGTGTTTCCGGCTCCATGTTACAAAAAGTACAACTTTCACTAGCTTTTATTTTTATTATATTTAAATATTTATTTGTAGCGAGGATACGATTAACGAGCTTATAATGGAAAATCCTTATGTGTGTTGACTTTGTGGCGTTATTAACCTCAAGGCAGCTATGTTCGTCATAGCATCCAACATCTCTTATCCATTTCTGTTTTTGTCTTTCGTCAGATTCTCTTAGCTCTATCTTTCTATGTTGTACTAATTTAGTGTAGGCTAAACGAGAGAAATTAGCCTCGTTCATTACCAAATTCATTCTGAATGGAATCGTCGGTTGACATATTTTGTCCATTACTTCTGACTTCATGGAGCTGGGTAAACTTCGAATCAAGCTGGTATAACAGAGAATGGTCATCTTTATGTGATACGCTCTCTGTAAGCTCTCTTTTGTGTGCAACCGCCCCGTATTTTCGTCAATCAAGTCGCCCAGAAATCGTAAACCTTTTGTTTGCCAACTTTTTATGATGGAGCATGTAAATTTGGTATAGTCTGAAAACCATATGTTTTCAGACATTATTTCTGGCGTATCTAGTCGGTATATGCTAGTGAAATATGCAAATGCGCCCAATACATCTCTCCAGAACGGGTTGCTCGCTTTACTACTTATTTTGTTCAGATATTTACTTCCATATGAAAAAAATATCTTGTATGTTTGTTACCTCTAAAGCAAAGATGTTAACCCATGGAGCCCGACTACTTACTAATCTTTTGAGCCATGTGAGTTTCATGCTCATTATGAACGCTTGGATGTCAACCATCTTTAAACCTCCGTCTTTATAGCTTTGGGATAATTTGGCACGCTTGATACGGTCGTTCTTACCTGCCCATACGAATGAGTACAATAAATTATTGAGACGTTTCAAGTTAATCTGTGTTGGGTTAGGCAGGGCTGTGAATAAATGCACAAATTTTGCTATGAATAAAGACTTCACTACCGTGATCCTTCCGAGAATAGTTAAGTTTCTTCTACGCCACTGTGCCATTTCTTTTTGCAATTGCAATAGCTTTGGCTCCAAGTTGACACTAGTTATATTGGTACTTTGGTTATTAAAAACAATACCCAATATTTTCATATCACTGACGCATTTAACACCATGGATGTCTTCCATATTCTCTTGAAACGGCCCTATTGGGAGACACGTTGTTTTGTCTATGTTAATGTACCTATAACCCAGATGCTTCGGAGAAGATTTTTAATTCATTCAAGGCTTCTTTCACACACCTTGCGTCCTCGAGAAATAATACGGTGTCGTCGGCGTACTGCGAAATTCGTATTTCGACATGATTTGTTAGCGTGATGCCCCTCAACTGTTTGGATTCCTTAATTTTTATTGCCAATATATTGACCGCCAAATTAAATAAATAACCGGAGCTTGGGTCTCCCTGTCGAATTCCGGAATTAAGCGTTATCTTATCCCCTAAGTAGCCGTTTAGTAAAATTCGTGAGAAGTTTTCGCTATTGAGATATAAGAGATTAACAGTCTCTCTGAAAACCGGACCAAAGTTATACTTTTCTAAGACTCTGTCTATGAATTGCCAAGATATAGAATCGAATGCCGCCTCAAAATCGACAGACATAATTAATCCTGGACTTTCGTTTTCCAACAGCTTACTAATGACGTCAAATACTAAACGTGTATTTTCTCCAATAAAACGGCCTCTGATATATGCCGTCTGGCAGGGATCGATCAATTTATCTATTACTTTTTGGAATCTGACTGCAATAGCTGTTGATATGATCTTGAAATCTACATTTAATAATGTTATCGGCCGCCATCCTTTTAAACTATTGGGCGATTTTCCAGCTTTGGGGATCATAGTGATGATACCCTCTCGATGAGTCGAAGGCATCTTACCTTGCTCGTAAGAGAAAATTAGAGTTCTATACAAAAACGGTCCCAATTTGTCCCAAAATTTTCTGAAGAAACACGCTGTATATCCGTTCGAGCCGGGTGACTTTCCTTTCTTCATTTTGCGCAAAGCGTCTGTCAGTTCATCAAACGTTATGGGTTTATCTAGCAGTGCGTTTTCATGTGCACTTAGTGAATTTGACGAAGTCATTGTGAGGTAGCTGGTCATTGATGGCAGCAATATGTGCGGTTTATTATATTTCTTCGACATGTCTCGAGTAAATTCGTTTAGTATTGCGGATGTCTTTGATACTTTTTTGCCCTGAATTGCAAGAGATGTTACAGTTTTTTTCATGGCATTTCTCTTTTCAAGTCCAAGAAAATACTTTGTCGATTTTTCGCCCTCTTCGTGCCACTTTGTTTTTGATCGGACGATCAGGCCATTAATAGTGGGTTTTCTCATTTCCTCAAGCTCCTCCTTAAGTGTTTTCAAGCGAATATAATTCTCTTCCGATCTTGCTATTGTTA